TTCTTTCCTTTTAATAGTTGTCTCTTGGGTGGTCCATAACATTAACTTGGTTAGATTTGCAAAACAGATTTGTATTTCAAATTTAAGCACAAGGAAAGACAGAACATGTTTTTGGTGACATTGTAGCCAGAGAGTGAGCAGGCCCTGGGAAATGCCAGGAAAAGGATTGATCTTGCCTAGAAAAGTCTACTGCATCAGAAACGGGCCTGTTATTACTTCAATGGCTTCGTCTACAAAAGAGTTCGTAAATAAAAACTTATTGGCCTAATCAGAAAAAAAAAGAAAAAGAAAAAAAAGAATAGTGAATGGAATTTAGCCTTATTCTTCCCTTTATATTTAAGCATGATTCATTTCAGCTACATATTTTAAAATATTCACTTTCATTATGAACATTCTTCAATGAAAGTTTAATGAGCATCCATATCTCAGATTAGCTCAGGCATTTTTGGAGGCATTTAGAAATTCCTGAGCATACCCCATGGGCAGCTGAGTGCTTTGGCGAAAGGGCAAGGCGGGGTCAGAGAAGCCAAGGATGAAATCCTGGCTCTGAAATCTATTTGCCATGTACCTATGAGCCAGTTAATTAAGCTCCCTCAATTTCTGCACATGGAAAATGGGGAGCACATAACCATGTCATCGATCTGCTTTGAGAAGAAAGCAAAATCCATACGTAGATGGTCTTGAAGTGTTTTGTTAGTTTTACTTGACATCCTTTTATAAAAATAATTTTTTTTTCAAAAGTTTAAAATGATCTGATATTGAATATAGCTCACAGACTGAAGTGAATAAATAGTCTAAGCTGGGGGTTCGCCAACACAGCCTTCTACATTTTGGGTGCTCGTTCAGGTAGGCATAGTCTGTGGCGGATTTCACACGACCATGGTGGTGTAGTTGTGGCAGAGACCCGTGGCTCATAGAGCCTGCAGGATTTACTGTCTGCCCTTTTCCAGAAGTTCGCCAACCCCTGCTCTAAGCTGTTGTCAGGATCGCTTAATTGACATTTTGAAGTGTCATGGTTTGCACAAATATGAGGAGGCACTTCAAGGGACATGCCATGGGAAGAGATAACATTGTTACTTAGCTATTCTCTGGGTTAACCAGAGTTGTCTAGCAGTGATCTGTGATGAGGTCCCCTGGAACAGTTGGGAGTAACCCATCTAGGGCCCACAGAAGGGGATGTGGATGGGGTGAAATCCTTGTTTCAGAGTGGGGAGGCACTCGAGACTGATACAGATCTCACCATATGGCATTCCTTATCAGCCAATAGCCATGGAAGTTGTTCAGAGCTCTCATTACACAGTGTGGATTCACTCATTCTCCACAGGTCCCTGTGTGTCACTCGAGGTGCTGAGTTACAAGATGGACACCAGGTCAACTATTTAGAGACCCTGAATTGAATGGATTTACCTGGTTGTTGCTAGAGTGGGCCAAACTAGATAGCACTGTGTGTGTGCTATAAATCACCTGAAAGTTTGAAACCACGTGGTGCTTATCTTAATAATTTTGGTAGGTTTAACATCAAAACAATTGTCAGCCTCTACTGGAAGTTCTGGGAAGTCTCTGTTTCACTTTCCACAGTAAGTGATATTTGGCTAATCTCAAAGTTCTTTCTCCTAAATTGATCTGTGGGGAGTTAGACAACACATTCCTGAAAGCTGTTTAGTGTTGTAGATTTTGCAGAATGCTTCCATTTCCACAATTTTATTCAAATATTACTAACACCCTTCAAGCTAGAAGGATTGTAATTCTTTTACAGATGATGAAAATGTCAGTTTCCAAGACGTTAAGCCATATTGTTCTCAAGGGTGAAGGACGGACTTGAATTTGTCTTCTGACTTCATACCCGTGTTTTTTTCTGCTGTGTCATTTTACTTGATGTTCCCTCTCAGCCAAGTTTATTGAAAAATGGGTAGAGTATGCAATCTCATTAGTTTATAGACTAAGCACCCAAGTTATATTATATTAGAAAGAAAGATATCTAACCCAAGGTTGCCAACTGTTGGCCATAGGTTTCATCTGGCCCACAGATGTACTGGGCTTAGTCTACACAATACGTGCCTATACATTTTTTTAAATGCATGGAATTAGTTGTCATTAATATCGCAAATAAGTCCAGATTTCCAGCTTCCTTAGACAAGAGGATCTGGCCACATTCCCATGTGGCAGCAGGCTGGGTCTAAGCACCGGAACACTTGTCATCTCTGTGACAGGCACTTGCCTTCCAGTTTCCATCAGCCTCTCTCACCCACTGCTGTGCTCCCGGCCACACCCCTCTTTGACTGTTCACAGTACCTCCTGGTTATGGTAGGCATTTGAGTTTTTGACCTCCGACCTGGACTAGAAAACTCACTTTGTGAATGAGGAAATAAAGTTTGAAGTAGTAAGGTAACTGAGCAGCACCGAGTTTAGAACTTGTTTTTCTGAGCCCTTCATTGAGCTCTGGTACCATGTTTACTCAGCTTTCTTCCTTCCCATGTAGGAAAACCCCGGTTCTTTCCTACTGTGTGTTTCTTCCCTGAAAGTCTCCTTTACTACTCACATAAAACCCTATACTTCTGGTCATCAAACACATGGAGGTTTTTCCATACCAAGCAATTCTCTACGACACCAGCTGGGTGTCCTACAATTTAACTCACTCCTGACATCATCTACTTGGAGAGAGCATCAGGTCCCACAGTCCCACAGGTTAAGGGCTCAGTTCCACAAGACTGCTCCCTTTAGATACCAGTTTCAGGCCCAGGTTATTGCCTTCTGCTTCTGACCTACTGCCTGCAGATTGGAAGTTCCAATGACATCCTCCTTAGGTTTGATTAGTTTGCTAGAGCGGCTCACAGAACGTAGGGAAGTACTTATTTGCACATACCAATCTATTAAAGGATGTGCTGAAGAATACAGATGAACAGCCAGATGCAGAGATACACAGGGCAAGGTCTGGGTGGGTTCCAAACACAGGAGCTTCTGTCCCCCATGGGGTTGGGGTGTTCATCCTCCCAGTGTATTTACCCCCTAAGAAGCTCTTCAAACCCCATACTATTGGGATTTTTATGGAAGCTTCCTCATGTAGGCACGGTCAATCATTAACTCCATTATTAGCTCCTCTCCCTCTCTGGAGGATGAAATGTAGGTATGAAAATTCCAACCTTCTAATCATGGCTTGGTCTTTCCAGTGAGCAGCCCCCACTGAGGAGCCACCAGGAGCCCACTTAGAGCTGCTTCATTTGAACCAGAGGTGCTCCTAGTGCTCTTGTCACTTAGACATTCGCAAGGGTTTGGAGCTCTGTGCTAGCGACTGTGTGTGTGTGTGTGTGTGTGAGTGTGTGTGTGTGTGTGTATCTATTTCTATTATCTCAATATTATTCCTTCTTACTGGAGAATAATGGAACAGTAGAGGAATAGTAATTAGTCAGGAAAGAATACACAGTTTTCAATAAATTAATAATGTTTTACCCAGGGTCAGCTATATATTTATATTTATTTATGCCATATGAGCCAGATTTCAAATATGGCAAATTATTGAACTAAGCATCAGACTATATTGTGTATGTTTCATTTCAGAAAACATGGTCATGCAAATTGAAAGAAAGCAGTTTATTTTCTCATATTGGAGAGCTGGTAGGAGGGTGCGTATTTGAATGGATTTCAGCACAGAGACAGTTTCAGTTTTAGAAGCAGAGGTATGTTTTTCCTTTGTATATAATGGAAGCTTCCTCAGGCATGTCATAAATATCTCTTTTGTGGAAAGCCTCATGCTAGGACATAGTGTATATTTAGGAGAAACTGAGGGAAAGAGAGGCAACTGTAAAATCACGAGTTTATACTGGGACACTGGGAGCAGAAGTGCAGGCTGGGGCAGACTGGCACTCGGTCTCAGGACGAGGATGCAGAGGCTGAGGGAGTGTAGGTGGTTTGAAGGAATGGATGGTGGCACCTACCCCGTGATGAGAAAGGTGTCAGGTATACAGATGGGCTGAGTGAAGCACAGTACTTACCACTTATTTTTTCTGAAGTGTAATTTTGAGAATGGATTATATAGTTTAAACCCAAGGAGATAAATTATATCCTAGTGAGGAAAACAACTAACTGGGGGACTTACAAAAAAATAACTGTAATAAATGATGAGTAGTTGATATTCTTCTTTAGAATGAATCTCTAAAATGCATAAAGCAAAATGTGAGATTAATACATTTCCAGATAGTTATGATCATCGTTCTTGTTATTTATTTATTTATTTATTTATTTATTTATTTATTTATTTATTTTAAAGGATTTTATTCACTGCTTTATTCTTACAAGTGCTTCAATATTCAAAAAACAATTCTTTTTGCCAGCATTTGCCATGTCTAAAAGAAGTTAGAAAAAGTTAGAATCTATAGAATTAGGTGTCTAAAAACAGAAAAAACCCTAAACATTTAAAAATTCCTCAATTAGGTCCTGAGTAGAAATCACATTCATTAGCAAAAAGAATGTTTTAGGTCAGAAATGCTGTATTTTACAACTCCAGATGCTGACCTAGACCTGACCGGTGAGGATTCCACGCACCGCATGAATGTCAGGAGAGGAGCCCTCCGTTGGCCAGTTCTGGCCTGTGACCTACCTGCCTTGCGAAGTTTTATGCATCTCTTAAACCCAAACCTCCTGGTTTTCTGATGCTTGTCTTAACCTAATTCTCAATGATGTTTTAAACAAACAAACAAACAAACAAACAAAAGTTTTCCCTGCAAGATCACACATTTAAATATTTGTTGCTTGTGGATAGAAACAGAGAAACCCAGTACTGATGTGAATTATCCCAGTACTGATGTGAATTATCCCAGTACTGATGTGAATTATCCCAGTACTGATGTGAATTAGCCCAGTACTGATGTGAATCAGCCCAGTACTGATGTGAATTAACAGTTCAGTGGTGGAGCTGTGAACTCCGGATGGCTATGTAAGCAGCAAGGAAAGTCCCTCGCTGGCCCTGCACTTGCTGTGCGCCAGAGGTGGCCACCCAGGCAAGGTCAACAGGAAGAGAGTGTGAACCCCAGCAGCTGCTCGATGGGTTTAAACCGCCACTCATCTGCCTCCAGCTCTTCTACCAAACCAGCTAGTGTTTCCATCCGAGCAACTTGCTGATCATGTTTCACCTGCTGCAGTGTAGACGCCACCTGATAGCTGAACACAGATTCACAGAGGAATCTCTCAGAGCCGTCTTCTAACATCTCCCCAGCTCCTTTGGGGTAGGTGAGAAGGGCTGTCCGTGGTGGGGCAAGGTCTGAGACACTGAAACCAGATCCAGCGACAGAACTTCCACTGACCCCACCGGCTGAGGAGGAGGATGGAGAGGCGGCCATTTCCTTCCTCGTAGGATTCTCACTTCACTCAGCGGCTCTGGCACTTCCCCTGCAGCCCCACCCCCAGCGCATCAGCCGGGCAGCCGTGCAGACAGTGACGAGGACCTTAATTTTAAATTTATTTTATTTATTTTTATGTTTTCTTTTTACTTATTTATTTATTTGTTTGTTTTTGTTACAGATGTGTCTCCTTTTTCCCCCATTGACACCCTCCTTCCTATCTCCCCCACCGCATCCCCAGCTTTGTTGTCTGTATCCATTGGGTATGCTTATATGCATATAAGTTCTGTGGTTTATCTCTCCTCCCCCAAACCCCCTCCTCTGAGGCTTGTCAGCCTGTACCCTACCTCTATGTCTCTGGGTCAGTTTTGTTCATCAGTTTGTTTAGATCATTATATTCCACAAATAAGTGAGATCACATGATATTTGTCTTTTTCTGTTGGCTTGTTTCGCTTAGCATAATACTCTCCAGGTCCTTCCATGCCATCTCAAAGGATAAGAGACCTTTCTTTCTTACAGTGGCATAGTATTCCATGTGTACATGTACCACAGCTTTTTTATCCACTCATCTACTGATGGACACTTGGGTTGTTTCCAGATCTTAGCTATTGTAAATAGTGCTGCTATGAACACAGAGGTACACACATTCTTTCTGATTGGTGTTTCAAAGGAAAAAAAGGAACACATGGGACTACATTGAACTAAAAGCTTCTGCAGAGCAAAAGAAACAACCATCAAAATGGAAAGGGATCTCACTATATGGGAGACCATAATCGCTAATGATGCATCAGATAAGGGGTTAATTTATAGACGTGGTTGCCACCCGCACAACCCAACCAGGGCCGGGACAAACTGCAACCGAGGTACATGTTCTTAGCGGGAACCGAACCCGAGTCTCTCTGGACCGCAGGCTGACGCTCTAACTGCTGAGCCAAACTGGCTAGGGCTATTCTTATTATTTTTAACTCAATAATTATTTCTGACAGTTGCTATGTATAGAGAACCATACTTAGCAGTGGGGAATATCCAAAGGTAGAATCACTGGCCCCTGCCTGTGGGTTGCTTTTGACCTTGAGGAGTTGAGGAGTTAAGATAGGAAGATACAAAAAATTCCATACAAGCTCAGGTGAGTTAATGTTTTCGCAGTTTAGGGAAATAGACGCCACTTCTCCTGGCTTGATCTGGAGAAAGACTTTCTGAGGGACGAGGACTAATGATTTTAACCAGACCTTGAAGGATGAGTAGGATTTGAAACACCAAAAGGAATGGTAGACGTTCCTTTGAGAGGGCTGGTGGCAGAACGAAGGCTCTGCAGCAGTTACTGTAAGGAGACCAATGGGACTGCAGTTCGCGAACTCCCTTGGCAGAGGGCAGAGGGCTCGCAGGCTGGAGGGTGCTGAGCTGTGACAGGCCTCGACTCTCAGGCTAGAGAATTTGCATTTTATAGATACGGTTGCCACAGTTGACCAAGGGAGCTCGGTGCCAAGACTGTGGTATACATTTAAAAGTGTTTGGGCATGGATAATTCTCAGAGGATCTTATAAAATGTCTTTGTTAATAGTTGAAATTTAGAAGATAGTTTGCTCAGGAGAGAATCCAAACCTTTCTAAGTAGAAATAACTCCCCAGACTCTCAGTTGGAGTCTACTTGGAGACTCTCCGAGGCCTAGCATAGGGTGTGCACACACCAACGTACCACATAGGGTGTGCACACACCAAAGTACCACACGAGGGGCAGGTTCAGAGGAGTGCCCGCCAGGGACAGATTACAGTGGGAGAATTCTATTTTGCTGAAGGTAGTATTGAATCTGGAATGTCATTTTATTTTCAGTCTCTTTATATGACTGTGGGAGTCACCTATATTGGAGTTCTTATAAAGTCTCTCATGTTACAGGACACTAGTTCAATTACCGTATTTTGAACAGCAAAGTACTATTTGGAGAAGACACTTTAGACTGAACTGACCTCAATCAGTGCTATTTTTATTTGCTTATAGAGGTGTGCTGATATGGTAAGTAAAAAAAAAGAGAGACAAAGAAATTTAATACAGTTTCTGTTATTATTCCTGGAGGTCTGAGTTTGCAGTCACAGGTGCTGACTATAATTTTAAACATGCCTTTTAAAGCAACACAGTGGGAATTTTTATTGTGGGTATCACAAATATCAAATATACACCTCAGGATAAAAGGAAAACAACTCTCTAACCTCATAGGACTGGGAACTCATGGCTTGTAATACAGTTTCCTGTGAGGGTAGATTCAGAACGTATTTCTCTAACAGTTTAGACAGGTGGGAAGATGGACTTTCAGGAAAACTGCTGACTTGAAGTTTGGGTAGAAGTGGAGAGTCTGGTTTCCTGCTGGCCCTTCCCAGTGGCCAACCCTAGCGGGAAGCCTGGTGGATAAGTCCCCAGAGGTGGACTCCAGGGCACAGAGAAGGATGGTGGAAGGTGAGGCTGGGTGTTCCCCGTCAGTGCACAGGACCGACTGCCCACGTGAGAGTGCAGTTGCTCCTCCAGCCGCGGCCCTGCTCGCCGCCAAGCTGCCGGCCAGTCCTGCCCGTTTGTCCGCAGGCCGTGCGGGGCAGTTGCCATTCCCGCGTCCAGGAACACCTGTCACCCGAAGTCAGCAATTTTCAACCTTTTTCATCTCATGGCACACATCTACTCATTAGTAAAATTCTGTGGCATACCAAAAAATATACTATATTTTTTGCCAATCTGACAAACAAAATAGGTATACTTTTGATGCATTCACAGCAGATGGCTCTTGTTGTGTTGGCTGTTGTCATTTTTTAATTTGACAATCTAAGGGAAAAGAGGTCAGGGCCCCTGACTAATAGTCAGGTGTTGAATGTTTTAAAAATTCTCGCAGCACATCAGTGTGCCTCTCGCAGGACACTGGTTTAAAATCGCTGCTCTAAGTAATTCCGTTGAACCTCCTCACCCCAGGCCTCAGGTGAGGGGTTAAGTTCTCTCGTGGGGAGGATGAGGCTCCCAGCACATCAGTAGCTTTCTCCACATCTTCCCCTTTACTTTCCAACTGCCTCCCCTTTTATGCCTTCAACACTGCAGGTCCTGCACAGCGACCTCACACCTCGTTCCAGAACATATCAGCCTTGTCTAGGGACTTCAACAGAAACTGGGCCCGGATTGGTTGTATTTTAACACCCTGTTACAAACATCATATGCAATCCATATCCCTAAAAGTTTATATTTGAGTTAATAACATGTACCCCCCTCAAATCATGTCAATGGGAAACGCAGAAGATTACTTTATATTTAGAGGTATAAGATGTGCTTTCTTTGGAAGTTTCTCTGATGTGGAAGCACAGGTCAATGATTTCCATGAAATTTAACCAGTGATTATTTAGGTTTAAAAACTAAAACCTAAATTAGGTAAATAAAACTATTTCAAATTCAGTAAGGTGGGCCTAAATTAAAGATAAAGTTTATACTAGAAAACTTTTCATTCAATTCCTGATAAGTTGAACAGAGTCTCTTTTTGAGAATAAGTAATTTCACATTGGATTTGTTTAGATTTTTAATTTGTTCTAATTGTGCATTTAGTTTAGAGTGGGCTTTAAGCCATTTTCTCTTTCTCGTATGTGATCACTGAAGCAGATGTGTTCCAGAAACTTTCTTTATCTCGTCAGAGGCTAGTGGAGAAAAAGTATCTTGCCATCTGCATTCAGAAACAAGGCTGTCATTTCTCAGAGCATTCTCCTAATACTTGCCCCCTACTTTTCAGTTTTGAGTGGGTTTAGTGGAACTCTGAAACCTTAATGTGTGACACCTATCCATGACGTTAATAAATGACAAATATTAAATTTTGTCCTTTCTGGTGCTGCTGTGTGGTCATTTTGCTCTGTTTTCATTTATAACTTCAGACTTTATGTTACTGATGCAGTTTCATGTGCTACCACTTTAGGTAAAACCTTTTGTTGTGAATCTCCTAAGAATGGACCCCTTTGAAAACCAGTGGTTCTCGGGGTGTGGTGGGGGGCAGGGATGGACAGGTGGAGCACAGGGCAGTTTTAGAGCAGTGAAGCTATTCTGTATGATACTGTAATGGTCGTATGTGATATTGTGTATTTGCTCAAATCTGGAGAACTCTACAGCGCAGTGAACCCTGACATGAATCATGGACGTTAGTTAATAAAGATGTATCGCATTTGGTAACTACCACACTGAGGCAAGCTGTTAATAGTAGAGGGACTGCTGAGAGGGTAGGGATATGTGGGAACTCTCTATATTTCCTGTAAGTCTAAAACTGCTCTAAAAAATAAAGTCTATTGATTAAAAATTTTTTGTCTGTGAAGATCAGTTGTATATACAACAACTTTACTTTTGTAGAATCTCTCTGGTGAGCATACTCTTTTCAGGGTTACATAATACAGTTAAAAAAATAACACTTTGCTCAAAGGAAGTAATCAGTTGAACAGATCGGTAGTTATCAGAATGCAGACTATAGTACATCCTGTTTTTCTAACTCCTCTAATTTACTAGTAGAGTAACCCAAATCACACGGCGGAAGGGAGGATATTGTTTGCTTTTAAGGCTGTATTAATGCTGTTAGGGCTTCATTATAACACTGAAGGAGAATCTGACTTGAAAGTCTTACTAGGAGGGGGGTGGGGAGAAGAAGAAGAAGAAGAAAGGAGGAGGAGGAGGAGGAGGGAGAGTGAGAGAGGGATGGATGGAGGGACTATTACTCAAAGGAGACTTACTGTAATATCATTTTAATGTAGTTTTTTGAAATTAAAATATAGTTAACAAATAATATTATATTACTTTCAGGTGTACAACATAGTTATTTAATATTTATATACCTAGTGAAGTGATCACTATGGTAAGCCTGGTAACCATTAGTCACTGTACAAAGTTAGTATGATATTATTGACTATATTCCCAATGCCCTATATTACACCCCCAGGACTTATTTATTTTATAATTGGACATTTGTACCTCTGATTCCCCTTTACCCTTTTCATCCTTCCTCC